AAACAATACGCTTTTGTAAGCGAAGTGGATGCGGATCACGGCAATGGCAATGGCGTCACCTACCAGCGATGACGAACCCCACATTTGGCATTGTAACAACATGCGTACCGGGCCGGACCCTGCCGGTTACGTGTGCTAGCCCCGCAATTGCCCACTACTAGAACCCCTTCATGCTCAAGATTCTTCGAAACTGTGCAATCATTAACTATCAATCCCATTCCCGTCACAATCCAGCCATTTCCCTCACTCAATACCACAAATCACGTGCACGAAACTTTACAAGGATGGCCGACCTCAACGTAACCATCCCGAAGCTGAAACTCAATGACGGCAACTCAATGCCCATGCTGGCGTTTGGTACAGGAACTTCTTGGTTCAAGTCTGGCGAGGAGAGTAAGGTCGATCAAGCGACTATTGATGCTGTAAAGATTGCAATTAAGTTGGGATATACTCATCTTGATGGCGCAGAGGGTATAAGCTGAGAACCCTTCTTTGTATCCATAGATTCCTAACAAGTTACAGTGTACAAGACCGAACCCGAGCTTGGGACAGGTATCAAAGAGAGCGGTGTTCCCCGCGAGAAGCTCTTCGTGACTACCAAAGTGAATGAAGGCAACATCAATAACATTCAAGGGGCGATTAAAGCTAGCTTACAAAAACTGCAGTTGGAATATGTTGACCTGTAAGGAATCTATAGCGCCCAGACATCTACTCAACACTAACTGGTGAAGCTACCTCATCCACCAACCGTGGTTTGGCAACTCAGAGGCCGATCTCCAAAAGGCCTGGGCTGATATGGAGGCAGTCCAAGCCGCAGGCCTTGCCAAATCCATTGGCGTTTCCAATTTCCTCCCCGAACATCTATCGGCCATACTGAAGACTGCCAAAGTAAAGCCGGTATGCAACCAAATCGAATTCCATCCTTACCTTCAGCACGAAAAGCTTCTTGAATTTCACAAGCAGAACGGCATCGCTACCACCGCCTATTCACCTCTGACAGCAGCTACCAGAGCGAAGGGTGGTCCTGTAGATGAATACGTAGAAGGACTGACCAAGAAGTATGCCGTGAGCGAGAATGAGATCTATCTGAGGTGGTGCATCGATCAGGACATTGTACCAATCACGACCAGTAGCAAGGAGCAACGTCTGAGTGACTACTTGCGAGCGCTGACCTTCAAGTTGACGCCAAAAGAAGTCAAGGACATCAATGAATTGGGCCAGAAGAAACACCATAGGAGTTTCTGGACCCACAAGGTAGGTTTAGGCTATGAAAGTGGACATGAATTATAAGCTAATTCGATATTTAGTTAGCCGCTGACGACCGATCTTGAGGCTTTCTAAGGTTATTAAAAAACGAGAGGCGTCGTTTCTGACGGGATTTAGGTAAAAAAAATTACGTGCAGATCATCAATGGCCTTCGTGCAACTCGGCTTGCAGAAGGGAGGCATTCGGTCCAGTGACATCAATACCATGGAACCCGAATTTTTCGTATTCAACAATAACATTATCGTATTTTCAGTTCCTATTGTGTTTTTTTCTAGTCATCACTCCGGCAAGTGAATTGATTATGATTTTGCTCGCATGTCATTGGCCGTGAAGTCATGTTACCAGTTGCAAGTCAGCACCGCGGTGCCAAGACGGTCCGCTCAATCTTTCCGCGCGAGCTTACCAGCTTCAGGCTGCACGTCCATTTCTCGCCATTCTGCCCCCTCGCATCACCAAACGCGACCTCTGTCTACGTGCAGGACACAGCGCAGATTCTTGCGAACATACGGGGATTCAACGCCGCGCCGCGTAATTATCGCCATCATGTCGGGCGCCACTGCGAAGGGCAAGAAGCAGGCGAACAAGAACGCCTATCGCCGTGCGAAGAAGAAGCAGCAGCGCTCTGTACGTGTCGCATATCTATTCCATCGCGCATCACGAGTCAATTTGCTAACAGCCTCGAAGGAGACACCGTCGACAGCCGGCGACTCTGCGCGTGAGAGCGAATCTCCCGCACCCGAAAGCGACACAAATAACGAAGCACAGGCTGTGAAGCCCGCGGACCTACTTTCCATCGATGATATCGCGAACCAGTACAATCTCGACGACCCACTCTTCGAGGAATACAAGAATGTTTTCGAAAAGTTCAGGGAGCCGACCGACGAGGAAGCAGCGACCAAGGACGATGAAAAGCCTGAGATCTACCACTCTGACGACGACATCCCTGACGAGGATGAAGACGATGGCAAGCCCAAGCTCTCTAAGAAGCAGAGAAAGCAAATGAACAAGCTATCGGTCGCGCAGCTCAAGGCACTGGTTCCCCGACCAGAACTGGTCGAGTGGACGGACGTGTCATCATCGGATCCCCAGCTACTAATCTCCATTAAGGCAGCCAAAAACGTCATACCCGTACCCTCTCACTGGTCGCTCAAGCGTGAATATCTGTCATCCAAGCGAGGTATCGAAAAGCCACCCTTCACCCTACCCAAATTCATTCAGGAGACAGGTATTGCAGAAATGCGAGATGCGGTCTTGGAAAAGCAGGCAGAGATGACTATGAGGCAGAAACAGCGAGAGCGTGTGCAAGGAAAACTTGGCAAGCTTGACATTGACTATGCGAAGCTCTATGATGCCTTCTTCAGACGACAGACCAAGCCAGAGCTGACCCGATACGGCGAGGTCTACTACGAAGGCAAGGAATTCGAAACCAACCTTGTAAATCTCAAGCCAGGCGAGTTGAGCGAAGAACTTCGCGAGGCACTTGGAATGGCACCTGGTCACCCGCCTCCTTGGCTCATCAACATGCAACGTTACGGCCCCCCGCCATCGTATCCCAACATGCGCGTACCCGGTGTCAATGCCCCGATCCCTCCAGGCTCTTCTTGGGGTTTCCAGCCTGGTCAATGGGGAAAGCCCCCCACAGATGAAGCCGGTAAGCCACTTTTCGGAGGAGACCTGTACGGCACTGCTATTTTGGAGGAACAACAGCAACCGACACATGTGGGCGAACCCGTTGAGCGCGGTATTTGGGGAACACTTCGAGCTGAGGGTGAGAGTGAGGACGAAGAAAGTGAAGAGGAAGAAGACGATGAAGATGAGGACGAAGATGAAGGAGACGAGGATGCAAGCGGCATACAAACATCCATGACTAGTGCCTCGGCTATGCCATCTGAGATTGGGGGCGCAGAAAGCATTAGTGGAGAATTTCAGCTCAGGAAACAGCGCAAGGGGATCGAGACGGAAGAGCCAGGTGCGCCGCGAAGTGCATACACTGTGCTTCCAGAGAAGAACATATCTGCGACTGGCTTCTTTGGTGGTGAGCATGCTTATGATCTGGATGCGGCTAGGCGCGATGCGCTTGGACACGCTCAGAAGAAACGCAAAGCTGGAGACATCGATGTATCTGTTGATATTGACCAGTTGGCGGACAGCGACAAGCTGGACAAGGATGCACTAAAGAAAGAGTATGAGTCTAGGCAGCGGGCTGAGGCACAGGGACAATGGCAGAGTATCGACCAAGACGATCTCGCCGATATGATCAACCAGGAAAGCAGGAAGAGGACCAAGAGGGAGGATGAGCGAAAGACTAGGCGCTAGGTCTGCACTGTCAAGAGTCCAATGGGGACATGAATTTTGTATAAAAGATCCAGGATTGCACTTTCAGGGGCTCCAAGAGCGAGCTGGCGTCACGGATGTCACGGGTCAATAGGGCTTCGGCATACACAGCATTGGGAAACGGCGTTATATGTGGCAATCAAGTGTGCCCACAGATGAGTATAATCAAGATGAAGATTTTCAATATTCGAGGCACAGCAATGGACAGGGATGACACGGTGACTATGGATACGAACTTCCGCTACGCCACGATTGACGCACCGAAGACGCGAACAGCAAGGCAAGGGGGGCGGAACAAAGCAGCCAATAGTTGTGAGTTGACAACTCCTGCCAGACTCAACATGAGAATGCTTGAAATGTTGAGATGTGCCAAACGGCAGTTGAGTCAACAAATTTCTCGAAGATCAAGTGATACACCTTCACGTCTGGAAGAATGGTAGGGTGGCAATTATCGCACACGTACACGCCACACGCGACCATCACTCTCGTCCACTTGATTGCATGTCCTAAGGAAGAGAAGAAAAGGAAAGAAGAGCTGAAACTTGCAGGCAGCCATCCATTGTCGATGCGAAGGCCAGAGCTTGACACGCTATAAGCCACAATTCAGCCCAAGGCACGTGACCGGCCAACGCGTTCAGTTGCAGTGGGCTTGGCTTTGAACTTCACTTTTTGCAGACCCAACACACAGGACGCCAAACACTCCCCACCGCTCCACCACCGCGACTATCAGTTGCAGACTCATACCCATTCTTTTCAGTTTATTCGGCCATTTCTACTATTTACGATAGGTCAAGCGCATTACTTTTGGTTCCGAAATGGACAGGGATCGCGAGCGAGATCGTGATCGAGGAGACAGAAGGTTTGTCAACACCAGGCTATCGCTTGTACACTGATGGACGGCATATGGACTTGTTCGGTCTTTGAAAATGATTGGAAGCGCCACTGCTAACGTGGGGTTAAGAGACGATAGGTATTCAAACACATACCGTCCACGTTCCCCCGGGCCACGCCCACGCTCTCCGCGCGGAGACAGCTATCGTGCTCGCTCACCTCCCTTCCGTCGAGCAACTCCGCCTCGCCGTAGCTCTCCACCTCGTCGCGGTATAGCCTCCGCTGATACCTACGTCCCTGGGGGCCGCTCCTCCCGTCCGCGAAGCCGCTCGCCTGCGTTCAGAAGAAGGTCACGAAGTCCACGTCGCGACGACAACTGGAGGGCACGCCCTCGCTCACCTCCCCGTCGAGCATTCTCACCCAGACGTGATGACTACAGAAACGACAGGCCAAGATCACCGCGACGGGACCGGGATCAATACGATTCGTACGCTCGTTCTCCACGGCCACGCGAAAGGTCGCCACTACTTCTGAGAGAACGTGATGTTTCTCCAGCAAGGAGCCGGGGGATGCGCTCGCCTATTCGCTCAAGCCGATACGAAGAACCACGTTCCCGGGTGAATAGGTACGTTTAGAACCCCTTGCTTACGAGAACGATTTGCTTACCAACTTGAAGCCCTCCCCCACGACGATACTCTCCGCCACGAGACTATAGGCGCAGGTCACCTTCGTTGAGACGCGAACGCCCCGACCCGTATACTGCCGATACTTGGAGGAGTCGTAGGTCGCCTTCTCCAGCGCGGCCAACCTACACTTCAAATGAGCCATCAGGCAGAGACTCTGCCGCTACCTCGCGCCGCTCTTCCCCGCCACCTATCCATCCTAGCCGGGCCGCACTCGTGGAGGACCTCCCTGTTAGAGAACCTGCTTCAGCACCAAGATCACCTTTTCGAGAGCGGCTTCCCGAAAGAGGCCGAGACTTTAGTCGTGAGCGAGAACGATCCCCTCCACGTCGCAGAGAGAGCCCTCCGACTGGGCCGCGTGGGGACCGAGACTTTGCGCCTCCAACAGGTCCTTCTTCATCGTATCGCAATGGTGAAGGCAACTTTGCTAGAGCGCCCCCAACTGGCCCTTCCAGTCGCAGCTATCCCTCGCCTGCCATATCCCCACCAGCAGGTCCATCAAACTCGACAGCGCTACCTCCCACATTTCCTCGAGGAAGTAACCCCGTTTTAGCGGCTCCAACACGGCCACGCGGTGGAGGTCGCGGTTTTGGTGGGTACGAAGGACGAGGAGATTTCTCTGGATCCTCTTCACGCAGAGGGTCATGGGGCGCAGGACCTCGGGGAGGAGGCTACTATGGCGGCGCACCATCCGGTCCTCGTGGTAGCAGCAGCGGTCCCGGTGGAGCAGCGCCTTTTGCGCCCTCTTTCCGCGGCTCAAACAACTCTACCGCTACAACGTATCCACGTACAATGCGTTTCCGCGACCATCTAGCCGATCTACCAAAAGAGATTCCTGGAGGCCAGAAAGCCCCTGAGATGTATGACAAGAGTAAGATTCTGAAACTAGAGGCAGAGGCACAGAAGCTTAGGGAATTGATTGATAAGAAGGAGGATGCAAAGAGGCAGAAGCTGAGGGAGTGGGACGGTCTTGAACGTGAAGCTGAGACAGCTCAGTTGAAGGTGGACTTGGCTGAAAGCTCGCTGAGGGGTCTGAATGGTGAAGCAGATGTGCGCGACGCCTTCTAGGTGGAACTCTGTCCAAAACCGGAGGGTTGGGAAGATATCAGTAATGCTTGACAGAAGCTGGGAAAGGCTGAGGTGTGCTTGAGCAACTATGAATGGGGAATGCATGAGATGATCTGCAGCTACACGAAGTTGGACAGGATTGAATGGCTTGTACGATATGGCAGAACCATGGTTATCTAGGGATATGATCTACGCATGCATCTCTAGTTGCTGGTTGGTGACAAAGTATATGTAATCGTTGACTGAGATGATGTAGCGTGTGCTCCTAAGACCTTGTGTTAGAATGATGAGAATATTTCTCAACAATCATGTGTCTTATGATCCTTCTTGTGCAGTAAATGTCGCTCTTGTGGTGATGGTGCATATGCGGTCACTCACATAGTCCGGCTAGATGAATCTACTGCGGATTACCGATTGGTCAGGATTGATTCTCCACCTGCATGTCTGACTCGCCGAACGCCAAATTGTTGCAGCAGCTCTAACAAACTCACCAACCCTCCTCCAACTTCCGCTCCCCTGCTCTACTGTCGCAAATATGGTGGGCAAAAAGGTACAAACACTGGCGCACAAATGCTCGTATATAACTAACATGTGCAAAGGAAGTTGCGCCCCCCAAGCCCAAAGCTGCCCCGCGCGGGGCGACAAAGGCGAAGGGTGCGCCTGGCGCACCCGAAGTCCAAAAGGTCGACGGCGGCGATTCTATGGAGATTGATTCTGAGGGCGCCAATCCTCAAGCGAGTGCTGGAAGTAGCGCGGCAGATCTCAATCCTGGGGCTTCTACGTCAGCAGATCAAACGCGAAAGCGACGAGCGCCACTCACCCACGCAAAAGACGAGTTTGCCGCCCTTCTCGAACCTTTCTACTATGGCAAGAGTCTGACCGACCCGATCAACACCGCGCGCGACAAATGGAATCTACTGCCAGCCTTCTTGAAGACTAAGGGTCTCGTGAAACAGCACGTTGACTCTTACAACCACTTTGTCGATGTCGACTTGAAGAAGATTATCAAAGCCAACCGTTTCGTCCGTAGCGACTTCGACCCTAAATTTCTCCTCGAATACACGGACATCCGCGTACTATCGCCGAACCGACAGGAAGAAGATGACCTCGAGCATCATCGCAGTACCATTACACCCAACGAGTGCCGGTTACGTGACATGACATATGCTGCGCCGATAGTAGTGGATATCATATACACTAGGGGAAACGCCAAGGTCAAGCGGACGGGAATCAAGATTGGTAGGATGCCTATCATGCTGAAGAGTAACAAATGTGTACTTGCTGGAAAGAACGATCGCGAAATGGCTGTCATGGAGGAGTGTCCGCTAGATCCAGGAGGCTATTTTATCACACGTGGACAAGAGAAGGTTATCCTTGTTCAGGAGCAGCTGAACAAGAATCGAGTCATTGTCGAAAGCGCAAAAGGAATTATGCAAGCCAGCGTTACGAGTTCCACCCACGAGAGGCGGACGAAGACGTATGTTATCCAAAAGAAAGGACTCATGTACCTTCGACACAACACTCTTTCTGAAGAGATTCCAATCGTGTTTGTCATGAAGGCACTAGGAGTTCATTCCGATAAAGAAATTCTCCTTATGATTGCCGGAGAAGATAGTGCATACCAGGACAATTTTGCCATCAATTTCGAGGCGTGCGCGAGGGAGCAGATTCATACACAAGAAAGAGCGCTGGAATACATTGGCCACCGCGTACGACTAGTCAAGAAGCCGCTTGGTACCTCGCGCAACAGGAACTACCACCTTGAGGCAATTGAATGTCTATCAAACGTTGTCCTTCCCCACGTCCCGGTCGAGGGCACGAATTACCGACCCAAGGCACTATACGTAGCTCTCATGGCTCGGAGAGTTCTGATGGCGATGCAAGACCCGAAGCTAGTAGACGATCGTGACTATGTTGGCAACAAACGTCTTGAGCTGTCTGGGCAGATGTTGTCCCTCTTGTTTGAAGATCACTTCAAGCGCTTTAACCACGATTTCAAGCTCAGCATCGACAAGGTTCTCAAGAAGCAAGTAAGGGCGCAGGAGTTTGATGCCTTTTCCCACTTCAGCGTTCACAAGAACCACATTACCATGGGTGTCGAGCGCGCAATTGCTACCGGAAATTGGAGTTTGAAGCGATTCAAGATGGAGCGGGCCGGAGTCACGCACGTCTTGAGCAGACTCAGTTACATTGCAGCACTGGGTATGATGACGAGAATCAGTTCGCAGTTTGAGAAAACTCGTAAGGTCTCTGGTCCTCGTGCACTTCAGCCCTCGCAATTTGGTATGCTTTGTACTTCTGATACACCAGAAGGAGAGGCTTGTGGTCTAGTCAAGAACCTGGCACTCATGACGCACATTACGACCGAAGATGATGATGACCCAGTTCGCAAGATTGTGTTCATGTTGGGTGCTGAGGACATTTGTTCACAAACAGGAGAAGAGATCCATGCTGAGGGTGTTTATAGTGTCTGTCTCAATGGTACGCCCATTGCTGTCACAGACACTCCAAAGCGATTCCTCAACAGCTTCCGGAAACTCCGACGAATGGGACGTATTTCCGAGTTCACTAGCATCCATATCGACCATGACCACTGCGAAGTCCACATCGCTACTGACGAAGGGCGAATTTGTAGGCCAATGATTATTGTTGAAAATCAACACTCAAAAGTTACTTCGCGGTACTTGAAAGCGCTTCGCAAGGGTACCATGGAGTTTGAGGATTTCCTGACAAGAGGTCTCGTGGAGTATCTTGACACCAACGAAGAGAACGATACCAACATTGCTCTCAAGGAGAGTGAGATCAATCAACACACGACACATCTGGAGATTGAGCCGTTCACAATTTTGGGCGCTGTCGCTGGTCTCATTCCTTATCCTCATCACAACCAGTCGCCTCGTAACACCTATCAATGTGCTATGGGTAAGCAAGCAATTGGCGCCATAGCATACAACCAGTTCAACAGGATAGACACACTGCTATACCTGATGGTCTACCCGCAACAACCCATGGTCAAGACGCGAACCATTGAACTCACAAAGTACGACAAGCTTCCGGCAGGTCAGAATGCAACCGTCGCCGTCATGTCATACTCGGGTTACGATATCGAAGATGCTCTCATTCTCAATAAGGCGTCATGCGATCGAGGATTTGGTCGTTGTCAAGTATTTAAGAAGCACGTCACGCCTCTTAAAACGTACGCCAACAACACTTCAGATCGCATCAACGCCGGCGCCCTTGATGTCGCAAATCCCAACCACCAGGCGATTGGTCAAGATGGTATTGCTCAAGTCGGCGCTCGCCTCGAGGCCGGCGATGCCTTCCTGTTGAAATCGATACCTCAAGATACCGCGGGTCCAGCGTTGAATTTGTACAAAGACAAGCCAGAAAGGTACAAGTTGCCCGACTGCAGCTACATCGACAAAGCCTGCATCACAGAAAACGAATCAGGTACAACGCTGATCAAACTACTCCTGCGCCAAACCCGTCGCCCAGAACTCGGCGACAAATTCTCATCTCGCCACGGTCAAAAAGGTACTACGGGTCTAATTGTCCAGCAAGAAGACATGCCCTTCAACGACCAAGGCATCTGCCCCGACATCATCATGAACCCGCACGGTTTCCCCTCGCGTATGACAGTCGGCAAAATGATGGAACTCCTCTCCGGCAAAGCTGGCGTCCTCAACGGCACCCTCGAATACGGCACTGCCTTTGGCGGCTCCACCGTCGAAGACATGTCGCAGATTCTCGTGGAGAAGGGCTTCTCCTACACCGGAAAAGACTACCTTACCTCTGGCATCACGGGTGAAGCCCACCAATTCTACACCTTTTTCGGCCCCATTTACTACCAGAAACTCAAGCACATGGTCCAGGATAAAATGCACTCGCGCGCCCGTGGTCCCCGTGCTATCCTCACCCGCCAGCCGACGGAAGGTCGTGCAAGAGACGGTGGTTTGCGTCTGGGAGAAATGGAACGTGATTGTTTGATTGCGTATGGTGCGTCGCAGCTCTTGCTCGAGCGCTTGATGATTAGTTCTGATGCGCACAATGTGGATGTTTGTGAGAAGTGTATGTCCTTTTTCCCCTTTTCCTCTCCACTCTTCTTTCTTCCCGAAAGCAAAGCTAATGTATGTCGCAGGCGGCCAAATGGGATACAGCGGATACTGCAAACTCTGCGAGAGCGAAAAGGCGGTTCGTAAGATTACCATGCCGTACGCTGCCAAGCTTTTGATCCAGGAACTGGGCAGTATGAATGTCAAGGTTACGATTGGGCTGGAGGATGAGTTTCCAAGGGATGCGTGAGAGTGGGGGAAAAAGTTTGAGGGCATTTAACGGGCGCTGGAGGGGTTTGTATGCATAGCGTGGCGTTTGATTTACGACGCATTTTTTTTTCATGTGACCAGGCAACGGGGATTATGGGTATTTTTGTAGTAACATATGATATTTCATTCATGTCATTCATTTCGTAAGAGTTTATGGATAGACATAGGCTGTGATACTATGCAGTTCCACAAATACATAATCATCCCTTTTCCCTCAATCGCCGACTCCAAACTCTCAACCTATCTCTCGTACTTGGAGTGAGCGGCTGGCCAAAAACGGCTCCGAAAGTAAACATCATGGACAAGATATCAGCAGGCTCAAGATAGCGAGCAACGCACAGCCAGAGCTCTGCAGGCATATAGACTATTCCTGGATACATTGGAGGTCTATGTGACAGGCTTAGCATGTGGGCGAGAGTGGTTGGGGTAAGTTTTGGTGAGAGGTTGTGGCGCTGAAAGGTAGGATAGATAGCCAAGGCAAGATTGATCAGATTGCTGTTTCCCACATATTCGTAGATAATCAGAAGTAGTTCGGCAGGGAGGTCATCGAAAGGATTACCATTTGTAAATGGCCCCGGCGGCGGGGGCGGCGGAGGAGCTCCAGCGGTCGCGGACATGCTCACGTGTTGGCCTATAGGAGTACAGAAGCAGCCAGCGCAGGGACTATGGCCAGAGTCAAGCTACGACTTTGGGAGAGATATGCGACTGGGCGTACACAAGTGTTTGCTCAATCGGTATGCGGTTTACTGGGCTGCTCAGCGGCGACAGAGAGTAGCCAACGGTATATGTAACCAGAAAGGAGGTAGGCAAACACGGCGACCAAAGTGATGTATATAGCGGCAGGGACGAGTGACTGAGGGAAGACGTTCAGTAGGAAGGGATCGAGAACTACAAGAGTCAGACCAGATGATGTGTAAGCATTGAATGGCAACGTACTGATATCCACGTCTACCGGAGGCGGATGGAGCATCAGTGTGCGATTAGTCGAATAGTAGGAGGCTGCAGCCTGGAGACGTAGCAGCAGAGCCGATTCGTGAACATCGAAGTCTGCCGCGCCAGTATCTTTGTGGCCGTCGAGTTGATTCTGTTGACTGTAGTGGACGAGTGACGCCTTGAGGTCGGGTGTATCGAGCACGTGGGCGAGGGTGTAGGTATCAAGCCAGAAGTCGGCTGGTTGCTGGGGTATGGTCAGGACTGGCCCGTCGAGATGGGGGAAGTGGAATTAGGCTCACTGTTGCTGGCCAGCAAACGCGGACTTCGTACCTGCGTCCGTGGTCGAGGCGGCGGACAAGGTACCAGGACTCGAGACCGCGTGGCGCTGACTCGGTGGGAAACTCGATGGGAATGCGGGTGGGCAGAATGGAACTGGCGGGCGACAGGGCGCTTGAAGCGAGCGTGTCTATGCTGGGGAGAGCATTGGAGAGGGCTGCAGCGCGGGGGCCGAGGAATATTGTCTTCTCAACGTTTGCGTTCACCGTCCAGGCCAGTGTGACGGTGCAGAGCAGCAGGCGGGCGACGAGGCGCATCTTTGGACGGCAGGACAGGGACTCTGGGGGAGGGCGGGATGGAGATGGCGCATTCTCTCACGTGGGGGATGGCCGGGACAATTGCATGTGCATTACTGGTGGTGTTGATGCTGGTGTTGTGGTGATGGAGGACAAGAAGAGGAAGAAGAAACTGGCCATGGAGAGGCCGGCAGGTGCAAGGGGAGGTGTGAAAGCATGCCAACATGTGCATAGATGTGTATGTCGAGTATGCAGTGCAGCGGTTAGCGCCGTGGCCCGTGGTAGGTCGGGCCCTCTGCACCCTAAAAGTTCGATTCCGCAAACACAACAACTGCTTCTCCCCCCCACCCACTGCTCCACTCCACCACCAGCTGCTCCTCGACTTTCTCGCGGACGCCACCCCTGACTGAGCATTTCCATATATCCTCCCAATTACTATTCCGCCTCAAATTCAGCCATGAGAGAAGTCATCAGTCTCAACGGTACGTAGCCGCCTATCCTTGCCCACACCCTGGCCGCCCCCGACTGGTGGGACAGGTCCGCCTCTTTGTTGATGCTGACTTTGTACGCGTCTAGTCGGCCAAGCCGGTTGCCAAATTGCAAACTCTTGCTGGGAGGTGAGTACTCGACAATCCGCTGCGCCGCGCCCTCGAGTCTGCTTCGAGTAGCGAAAAAAGGAGGGCGCCGGATGCCTTGTGCCTGACCGCCAGTCTGCACTGATGCTGACCACCTTTGCCAGCTCTACTGCCTCGAGCACGGCATCCAGCCCGACGGCTACCTCACCGAGGAGCGCAAGGCTGTCAACGACGACCATGGCTTCAGCACTTTCTTCTCCGAGACTGGTAGGCAGCCGCCCTTGCGCACGCGTCGGGATGCACAACTAACTCTCACTGCGCAGGCCAGGGCAAGTACGTCCCCCGTACCATCTACGCCGATCTTGAGCCCAATGTCGTCGACGAGGTCCGCACCGGTGCCTACCGCTCCCTCTTCCACCCCGAGCAGATGATCACCGGCAAGGAGGATGCCTCAAACAACTACGCTCGTGGCCACTACACAGTCGGAAAGGAGCTCATTGACCAGGTCCTCGACAAGGTCCGCCGCGTTGCCGACAACTGCTCGGGTCTGCAAGGTTTCCTCGTCTTCCACTCCTTCGGTGGCGGTACCGGTTCGGGTTTCGGCGCCCTGCTCATGGAGCGTCTGTCGGTCGACTATGGCAAGAAGTGCAAGCTCGAGTTCTGCGTCTACCCAGCGCCCCAGGTCGCCACATCCGTTGTTGAGCCATACAACTCCATTCTCACCACCCACACCACCCTCGAGCACTCCGACTGCAGCTTCATGGTCGACAACGAGGCCATTTACGACATTTGCCGAAGGAACCTCGGTATCGAGCGCCCCAACTACGAGAACCTGAACCGTCTGATTGCTCAGGGTATGTTGCTCACTTGAATATTCTCCTTACATCCGGTTCCTGACTAATCCAATTCCAGTCGTCTCCTCAATCACTGCCTCGCTCCGATTCGATGGCTCCCTCAACGTCGACCTGAACGAGTTCCAGACCAACTTGGTCCCATACCCCCGTATCCACTTCCCTCTCGTCGCCTACTCTCCCGTCATCTCCGCCGCAAAGGCCGCACACGAGGCCAACTCGGTCAACGAGATCACCAACGCTTGCTTCGAGCCAAACAACCAGATGGTCAAGTGCGATCCTCGCAATGGAAAGTACATGGCTACCTGCCTGCTGTACCGTGGTGACGTTGTCCCCAAGGACACACACGCTGCCATTGCCCAGGTCAAGACCAAGCGCACTGTTCAGTTCGTTGACTGGTGCCCTACTGGTTTCAAGGTCGGTATCTGCTACCAGCCACCTCAGAACGTTCCTAACGGCGACCTCGCCTCGGTCAACCGCGCCGTCTGCATGTTGTCCAACACCACGGCCATTAGCGAGGCCTGGTCTGCTCTCTCGCACAAGTTCGATCTCATGTACAGCAAGCGTGCTTTCGTCCACTGGTACGTTGGTGAGGGTATGGAGGAGGGTGAATTCTCCGAGGCCCGTGAGGATCTCGCTGCTCTTGAGCGCGATTACGAGGAGGTTGCTGCTGACAGCCTTGGCGACGACGAGGAGGGTGGCGAGGCAGAGTACTAGATGTCTTGTTGCATTGCTCGAGCTTGTGGCCAAGAGCAGTTCGGCTGTGCATAGTTGATTGGCATGCTCTTCGCTTGCCATTCGCGCGTATTGTTTTCTAATTCTCTGGCAAGAGAGAGCATATACCGTTTTGACTTTGACAAGCAGTCGACTTTTGAGGGGAGCTGCTAGCGTGCACTCTTCAGACATCAAGCGATTTGGGTTTAATTGCCCTCTTTCTATGTTACCACTACCACCTTTTTAGTAATGGCCAATAAATTGTCAAATGGCATTGTCTTGCAACATTCATTTTCAGTGCTGACCATGTTGTGATGTTCTCTTGACTCGTGAATTACTTTATGCAACAAACGTGAATCTATGTAATTGGCATAGTCTATAGATCATCTTCGTCATCGTCCCTAGCCAGTGCCTTTTTCTCAGCCAACTCCCGAATCTTGTCGCCCAGTACCTCGCGACCGTAGCGTGAAGCAACCTTGCCTGCCAGATCCAACATTTTGCCATTGGCATCGCGCATCAGGCTTACTATTTCCAGAGCCTTCATACCATGGTCCTCACCTGCCAGACACTCCAAGCCGAGTAACTGGAGCAAGGCACGATCAATCGCTACCTCGAGCGCACTCAGCGCCGCCTTTTGCGAAGACGTGGGCCGAGTATGCAACAGTGTCGACGAAAGCTGCGAGTGCAATGTCGACGAAAGAATAAACGCCTGTTCATGCTCCTGCTGCTTATCTTCATTCGTCTGCGGCTTCGTCGTTTCATCTTCTTCGTCATCTTCCTCGTCATCAGACATCGCACCACCCTTTCGACCCTTGGCCTTCTTGCTCTTATCAATTGCACTCGACAGCGGAATCTCAAAGCCAAACTCGGACAGGTGCGGGATCGGTGCGCTGGGATATTGTTCTCTGCCCTTGATAATCATGCAGTGGAACTTGCCGTTGGTGCTACTGTCTGCCGACGGTGAGGACGCAACGCCAACGGGCCAGTATGATTCTTCTTTTCCGCCGCCGGCGCGACGCGAGAGGAGCTTCGTGTCGAGCATGGGGACCCAGCGGGCTTGTCCTGTATTTCTCCAGCCAAGCAGTGTTAAGAGGACGCCGTCGGAATCGTAAATGTATGGGTCGCCTTCTGCCGAGAAGAAGACAGAAGTCAGTGTGGTGCCTGGAGGTAGGGCAAGGATATCAGAATCTTGGTACACGATGTCGTGCTTGATGTTTTCAATCGTGTAGAGGAGCTGTGTGCTGAGGTCGTTTTGGATGGGTCCGTTGCCAATGGTGAGAATGTAGTCGCGCCAGGCTGCACATGTCACTGCGGGAGAGCTCTTTTGACGGTATACGCGGATGGGTAGGCCGAAAAGAGAGTATATGCGCACGTAGTTTGTAGAAGTTGTGACGCATACGTAAGAGTCAGACAAGGCAATTGCTGTCACAGACTCTCCTGTTGGCAGGTTGGTCCGCCACTCCGTTCTTGTTGTCCACATCTCGTGCGGTCGGTAGTAGATCATAGCTTGATTTCCCTCTCCAGTGCTATTCGGTTGGCAGGCGAATAGGGTCCCTTTCTCGTTGAGACAGGCTTTGTCGTAGAGGAAGATGTCAGTGAAGTGGAAATTGCGAAAGGTATGCTCGTCGTAGAATTTCACGGTGACTGTATGGTGATTGCCTTCTTGCTCGACCGTCTCTACGTATCCGGTCAACGAACAGCATAGTAACCGGCGGTTACCGCGCCATGGTGTGCTACCCGGTTGGAAGGGCTCATGGACTTGGGGACGGAAAAGAGCGGAGCTATATGCGCGTCGTTTTGATGCGGGTTCTACGCCATTTGCGAGATGCCCATTCGAACGCTTCTTTGCCGCATGGATGGCGGCAGGTGCATAGCCTGCGCCATCATCATCAATGACAAAGTCGTTCATTTCCTCATCGCCATCTTCTTGTGCTTCGTCATCCTGGAACTCGGGGCCTAGGATGTCCTCCAGGGAGTCTGGTGTCCCGCTTCTTGGTCGAGGTCGTCCTGGGAGAGTGTGAACATTTCCTGCGGTAAGCTTAGCTGGCTGAGGGACACCGGCTCGGCCTTCTGATGGATCGTGGAAAAAGGGTGCCGAGACGGTAGGCTTCTGGAGTAAGGGGAGGTGCTCCTCAGGGACGATGTCTGTGTGGATGAAGAGCTCGCCTTCGTTGTTGGTGTAGGAGAGTATGTTTTCCGTAGGGTGCCATGCCATTGCCAGAATGGTCGCCTTGAGATGGTCAAACTTGTGGAGTAGCTGTTGAGTCTTGGTATCCCATAGGCAGAGACTGAGATCACTCGATGTGGTTGCTAACAGAGCGCCATTGGGTGACCATGCTGCAGCTGTGATATCTGCAGAGTGGCCTGTCTTGAACACCCGCTGTCTCTCCCAGTCATTTGTCGACATGACTTGCATCTGGCGCATGGCAGTAGGTGTAGCAAATGCTCGTCCATCAGGATGCCACAGCACCCTTGAACTGGACTCTGACTCTGTTTCCAAGCTCTTGATCATGCCTTCTATCCTCTTGACCATCTCAGGCTCATCTCCATCCAAGTTATACATGTAGACTTGACCGTCGGTGCAGGATACAGCGAGTTGGGTTCCGGTCTTGTCGAAAGAGACATGTTTCACGGCTCGAGACTGATCGCGTAGGGTTCGCATAGACTTGTTCTTTACGCTTACGACATTCACAACAAGCTCACTGTCCGTGTTAGTAATGCATTCTAGCGGCCAGAGGCTAATTAACGTACTCGCTTGCAACAGCAATCCAGTTGCCGTCCGAACTAATTGCTACGTCTCGTACGGGCAGGGTGGTCCGGAAGAGTATCTCTTCAAATTTCCCGCTGTCGAGGGAGAATCTGCTCACTGTGCCATCCTCGGAACCGGTGATAAAGAAGCCATTCTACGCTGAGTATTAGCACCGTGCCCCGAATTGCAGTTCACCGGCTCACGTACGCCAGCGACTACGGCCGTATTGTTCTCCTGGCATTCGTCTATAGTAACAGGCTCATCGTCAGATCCCGTGGTGAATACACGGCAGTAGTTGTCGACTCCAGTAGTGACGAGTTTCTTGCCGTTGGGAGTGTAGGCAAGGTAAGTTGCACCAGGGGCATCTAGGAACTAGGTTAGAGGAGGCAATGTTGTAACGGCATCAGAGGGTACATACGAGCCTGGCGAGCACGCAATCGCTGGACTGAAGACATTGTTGTAGCGGAATGCGGGTTGCTGTTCCAGATACAACGCGCCAGTCTGGTAGTCGCGACCGCGTAAAGTGGACATGGTTAGCGCGCTTTGAGCAAGCGTCCCCGCCGCATCTTCTTTATCCGCAATGCCCACCAAAGACTGTGCATACAATCCATACCTAATATGCATGGCTTATTTCTCCCCAGCGCCAAATCCTCCTCGGCATCGATCAAGAATCAGCACCGAAGCTCCCTGTCTGACCCACTTCCAGACCCCAACAGACGCTCACTTTCCCGTCCAGAATGGCCGGATGGCGCTAACGATCACCCAATACCCTAACCATGTCTCGCAATGCAATTAGTCAGGACTTGCCGCTTGACTCGGCAGGTGACAAGTGAGCCGCTGAAAAAAATATGTTGAACTTCGAGTCCTACGTCTCTACATTGTCGCCAAAGCTTGTGGGTGAATCTAACCGCCATGGTGCTCACCGACGAAGAGCAGCCTCTGCTCAGAATCATTTCGCATGATTATGAAAGCACCCAGCAAGAGGGTGACCAATATGGAAACGATGAGCTCGAGTTTGAGCCTCGGGACCCTGAAGACCCTAGAAATTGGTCTTGGGCCCATAAATGGAGCAACGTCTTGCTGCTTGCGTTCATGGCATTTGTCGTGTAGGCTCAATTTTTCAAATGCACCAATAACTAGCAGCACAATGAAAACTGACCACTTCTTGTAGTACATTCACATGCATTGGTGTTGTGCCTTTGGCCCCTACCATCGTTGAAGACTTGGATGGAAAGCATAGCAGTGCAGCCAATAGCGCACTACTCGTCACCATTTGGGAGCTCGGGGAAGCCGCTGGACCTCTGTTAATCGCACCCTTGTCCGAACTACTCGGACGGTCTCCTGTGTTCCATGCTTGCAACATAGGATTCATTGCTGCCACCATCGTAGCAATCTACAGCCCAAGCAGCACAGTCTTCATCACCGCGAGGATGCTCACAGGCCTTTGCGTCGCTTCCAATGTACTCAACCCGGCCATCATTGGCGACATCTTCGAGAATGAGCAGCGTGGCTCACCCATGTCTCTGATCATGCTCGCACCACTTATCGGAGGAGCCATTGGACCTGCTAGCGCTGGTGCCATTGCCGAGACAATGGGATGGCGGCGTATATTGGTCATTGCTGTCGGCCTTGCCATTCTGTGCGAGTTCCTCTTCCTCATCTACTTTAGAGAGACATATAAGTTGGCAATTTTGAGGAAAAGAGCAGCAAAATCCGCCGATGGAGCCGACGCGACTGTAGAAGGCAGAATCACCCATGAAGGGTCTGCAAAGCTTTGGCACTCATTGACACGCCCGTTTGCAATTCTTTTTAGATCGAGCGTCCTCATGCTCCTCTCGTTGTTTGCTTCGGTCGCCTTCAGCTTCTTCTATGTCATAAGCGTGTCACTGCCAGTCATCCTAACGGACAAATACGACTTCAAGCTTGCTATGACCGGGACTGCCTTTATCTCTTTCAGTAAGAAACGCTTCATGTTTCCGACAGCACAGCAGCTAACTGATCACCAGGCATTGGATCTCTATGCAGTGTCATGATCTGCAATTTTGCACTCGACAGAATTTATGTGAGGCTTCGCGGACCCGAGGGCGAGAAAGGGAAACCCGAATATCGCCTGCCGCTTTCTATATTCGGTGCTCTTGTACTACCCTTCACCGTAAGCGCATACGGTTGGATTGCAGAGTACAAACTCCCTGTGTTACTGCTTCTTGGGTCTGTGGTACTGATGGGAGCGACCTTGTTGCTATCCGTTATCCCACTATCCAACTACGTTGTTGATGCGTTTGGCATGTATTCAGCATCGGCACTGACTGGCGTCATTGTTACCAGGTGCCTGATGGGAACCTTCTTGCCTTTGACAGCTAACCCGCTGGCTGAGAATCTGGGCTATGGGCTGGGCTTCAGCTGCTTGGGTGCCTTGAGCCTGGTCCTGGCAATTATACCCATTTGCGTATTTAGATACGGAGAGAGTTGGCGACAGCGTTCTGAGTTTACGAGAGATTGTTAATTATGGGACTAGATCGAGGTTCATTTTGGAACCGTTATATGTAGTATTTTAGATTTCAACGTTCGTATGCGTTGTTCGAAACAGGCACAGCGACTTTTGTGGTCGAAGATAGATGTATTGGCCCGTGCACCCAGCCGTGATGTCCATGTATCCGCTGCCACTGTCCGCTCAACCAAAGTTGCATCATCGATCCTGCGGCCTCTGCAATTCCCAGCGCCATGAAGACTGCTTTTGCCGCCCTGTCGTCTTTTGCGACGCTCACGAGCGCCGCCCGTCTGCTCCTCCAAATTCCCAACACGCCCCTCGTAAACCCCTCCACCCTGACCTCTACCACACACGCAACCTTGCAGTCGTCGGGCCCGCCCATCGATGCCTACCTTACGCGCGCCAACACCTTCAATTTCAACAACGTGAGCGTAGGCAGCTACCTTGCCACCGTACATTGTCGCGATTATGCTTTTGAGCCACTGAGAATTGATGTCACCCTGGAGGAGGCTGTCGAAGGCAGCGGAGACAAGAAGGAGGTTATCAGGGCCTGGCAGACCTTCCTAGGAAATGAGTGGGACAACAAGGGCGAGAACCGTGGTGAGGGCGGAAATGGGCTTGTCATCGAGGCAAGACCGGTGGCACCCAAGTACTTTTATCAAGAAAGACAAGGCTGTACGTCTCGCATACGCACGTCGAAGGAATACAAAACTCGGGTTGGCTAACACACAAATAGTCTCACCACTATCTTTCTTGAAGAACCCCATGATTCTCATGGCTATTGTTTCCATGGGTCTCATCTTTGGCATGCCCAAGCTGATGGAGAATAGTAAGTCCTAAGCAGAACACCGAGGTAAATGCAATTACTGACGAACGTCTAGTGGATCCTGAAATGAAGGAGGAATTTGAGCAAATGCAAAAGAATGGTGTCTTGGGCTCCGGCTCCACCAACACCGCCCAGCAGATACAAAACTTTGACCTTGCCTCATGGATGGCTGGCAAAACAGATGCGGGAACCACGAGCGCAAACGCAAATGCTCCAAGCCCCGGGCAAGCGAAGAAACGGTAAATGATGAAATACGTCAAGTACGTTTGGCTCTTGCTGGCAGCCATGTACTCAGTCCCTCTGAGCCAGTATACTACGCTGCACTGTATTCTGAGCAGATAGTGTATTTTATGATCAATAAAAGGGCTCTGCCGAACTGCACTTGGACCATTCCAGTCCTTAATTTTTGATCAACTGCCAAGACGAGGCGTTCTTGCTCTAGCGCTCTGACAATTCTTAGCAATGTCCTCTCCTGGCGAAGCCCCGTTCGATCGACGCCAAAAGAAAGCCTATCTAACTTGTGCACAGAGGCACACATCGTCGGCTCGGGCCTACTTGCACATGCATACTGGACGCATTACATTAATCTTAGTGTACCATCTAATTCTTGCCAGCAGACAAGGCCAAGGGGTACTTCTTGCGCCCCGCTGCTTACCTATGCCTAGTGCCTGCTTATTCACCTTCTTGAGACTACACCTAACCAATCAAATACGCGTAAATATTGCAAGGAGCAAGCCACCATTCTTGTACTTCAGGAGGGAGATCTCTGCGTGAACTGGGTTAATTCGACTATATTATCTCTGGTAGCCATACAACGTACTTTTGTAGATGTAGTTGTGTTGCTCTCACCTTGTCGACTGTTGTGAATGCAACCATGGCAGACACTCCACATACACTTGTGGACGGAGGCACTACGCCAGCAGACACCACTTCTAGCACAGCACATGGATCTCACCATCACCATCACCACCACCATCCGCATCTTGGCCACCATACAGGAAAGAGACTGAGGCAATTTCTGAGACCAGATGGAAGAAAGGTACACATTGCGAGTTCGCCCGATGAGGCCAATGTCATGAGGCGAAAGTTGAGCACTGCAAACGAGAAGGATGATTTTGATCTAGTCATCCATGGATCTCCTGAACATGTAGGTTTCTGACATCGAAGACGGTGATTGTGTATCTAGGGACATTGACAGCACCGGCACAGATTGAAGCACTTCGCCATACCCACGCCCACCATGAAGACCGACACAAGCAACTACAAGAAGAACATGGAGAAGTAGCCCAAGAATTCGAGCGCGTCATCCGCGAACTCGACGCCTTATCTACCGAACTCCACATGATCAGCGAGCACGCCGTACAACTCGACGCCAACTTTTCCAAGTACGGATACTCTGCTCACCTCCGCACAAAGGAAGACTCGGACTCCTTGGACTCACCCAGCAACTCCCTATTTGATAAGGATACCTGGCGCGCAGAACGCAAACTCGGCGAAACAATGCGCTTCTACCAACGCCCAATTGTACGGCAGTACTTCCACAAAGGCCTCCTCTGGCGCGCCAAAGAAGCCCAGGAAGTAGCATCGTACGAACTCTTCATCGACCTCTTCTACGTCGGCATCATCGCCATCACGGGTGACTCCACAGCCGAGCATCCCACAGGAGAGTCTCTCCTCCGCTTCTCCATCACCTTCCTCATGGCCTGGAAAATCTGGTCAGACATCGGTATGCTAATCTCGTGGTTCGACTCCGACGACGTCCTACGACGCTGCGCCGTCCTCTTTATCCTAACTTGCTTACTCGGTTTCACCACAAACATGGCCGCGGCATTCGAACACACGTATACACCTCTCGTAGCCTTCTACCTCGCCGCCCGCCTCTTCATCACACTAAGTCTCTGCTGGTACGCCTGGCTGATCCCCATGATTCGCGGCAGCATGCTCGGCACCAACGCCATCTCCTTGATCCCCTTCGCCCTGTGGGTCTCCAGCATCCACGTCGCCGAGCCCGCAAAAAAAAGCCTAATCTGGGTCGCCATCGTCTTCGATCTCTTCGGCCAATTCATCATGTTACTCGTGCAACGCCCCGGTAGTCCCATGTCAAAACACCTCCCCGCACGTATCAAAGCGCGGCTGGATTTCTTCCCAGGCACAAACATCGAGCATAGAATCGAGCGTACAAACGCGTTTGTGACGCTCGTCTTTGGATCCTGCGTGCTGGGCTTGCTGTACCAAAGCAACGTCCAAATGGGTATCAATGCCTTCTTCGGTAAAGCAGTGCTGGGCTTGATTCAGGCATTTACGTTTAATTGGATTTACTTTGAGATTGACTCGTGGAATCTGCATTCGCATGCTATACGTCGCCATGTTTTCTCCGGTTAGTTTTCTCCCCCCCCCTCCTCCATCTTTACAAAAAAGATAAAAAACGAAGCTGAATAACGTCGCTATAAAAAAAGCAATGGCATGGCTATCCCTCCACCCCCCCTTCACCCTCTCCTTCGTCCTCTCAGCCTCCAGCCTCGGCATCCTCGTCCGCGCCCACGACACCCCCTCTGCCCCTCTCTCCTCTCTTTACGAAACTTTTATCCCCCGCTCTGAAGAACATATCCACGATGGTCTTCAGTGGTTCTACTGCGGCGGCCTCGCCATCTCACTGTTCTGCCTCGCGGCAATTGCAAAAACGCATTCGCATCGTAAGATTCCAAATCAGCGGTTGAGTAAAGATGTGAGGCTTGTGTATCGGGCTGTGGTTGCGGTGGTGGTTTTGACGCTGCCGCTTGCGCATTTAGATAGTGTGAGGTTGGTTGGTACGACGACCGGGTTGATAGTTAGTGTGCTGGGGGTTGAGTTGGTGGGCGTGGGGTGTTGGGGGGAGAATGTGGTGTGGGAGCGGGGGTGTAAGAGGGATCGGGCGACATATAGTGCCAAGTGTGGGGTTAGTAGGGGGGAGTTGGAGAAGAGTGTGAGGGAGGGGAAGGTGGTGAAGGTTGAGGAGATTGCGGCGAGGGAAGGGGGTGAGAAGGGGGCTGTTGGTGTGGTTTGAGTGTTTGATCATATATGAATTCTCCTTTCTAGATATATGGGATTATCTTTGTCAAAATGTGACGGCCTTACTTACGCCAATTCTATCCAAATGCAGGTATGTAGTCGATATACAAGCAACAAAACCCATCCCTCATCACTCATCATCTGTACCCTCACGTCTACTCCCACCCGCCGCCACCGCCTGCTCGTCATGAAACCTAATCGTACGTCCAGGAATAACCCGTTCCTCAAGTGCACTCCCCTCTCCTACGTAAATACCACTAGATTGCCCATCCTCCTGTCGACTACCTGCAGGATTTACATCACTCAGCGGCATCGGGGGTCGGTTTTCTGGTCGACATGTACTAGGTGGTCTGGATATGTTTGGCGTATTCGTCCCACTCCTGATAAAACTCCTGCCAATCCTGACTACACGGCTAGGTAGCGAACCACTCAAGCTGCGGGAAAAGCCAGGGCTACGATGGATACGGGTATCGGCATCAGTGGTAGTGCCGTAATTGGGGACGTGGAAGGAAGGTTGGGAATCGTTGGGACCGGAGGAGCTGGTGCGGGCGAAGGAAAGAGCGGTACTGAGGGTGCGGGGAAGTTGGAGACCTAGTTTGCCCATTGGGATGGAAAGGCCGTGGACGACCTGTTTAGTAGTTAGATTTGTGTCGATAGTTTTTTCCAAGGGAACTTACGACTGAGCAGATGACCAAGAACCAAACCACCACTTTTATCACCTCTGCCAAGTATGCTGCATCTTCCCTGACCTTCCCATCTACGATAATGGTATCCAGAAACTCGATACTGACGTAGAGGTAGAAAATAGCACTGACGCCAATGGGGCCGAAGAAACCGACAAAGAGTGCCTGGCGCCTTTGCTCAATCTGGTGAATCTGCTTGTGCAGTGCGAAGACGATTGGTAAACGGCGGAGGAGCAAGACAAGAATTCCCAGAGGAATCAGCCGGTAGAGAGAAATGACAGGGGAGTTGGCGAAAAGGTCCCAGGGGCAGACTGCGCCGAGCCAGATGAAGACAGAAACGTTAAGCAACATGTCGATAGTAGGCTGGAAAGAGTCGTCCATAGTTTCGAGACGGAACCAGTCATCCCAGGTGAATACGTTGCCAGCAATGAAGCATGCAAGTACGTCGTCACTACCGATCATTCCTACCGTGCCAACAATGAAGAGCTGCAATACCATGTTAGAATCCCAAAATCCTGGAAAAATCGGGTTCCCCGACAACTTACCGCCAAAGTGATCGCAAAAACCAAAAAGCTCTCTCGATCCACATACTTCCTCTCCTCGGCCCAATGCAGCAACTCCTTTGCAACCCACCCGACCGCAGCGCCATACACCACACTCAGCACAATCGTATACCCCCACGTCTCCCCAAACCAAAGCCCCATTGCAACCCTCGTACTCCCATCCGAGCCCGCCCCACCATGTGCGGTATGCTGAATAAGATACAATGGCAAAAACAAAAACGGATACCCCAACCCATCATTCGCCCCAGATTCCGCTACAATAATCTTCTGCAGCTCCTTTGGAATATTCGCATCCGCAAATTTCCCTTTAACAATCGAATTCGAAAGCACAGGATCCGTAGGCGTGACGCACGCGCCTACTGCAAGGGCTTGCAGAAAAGTGATGTGCGGGACCAAGGCGTAAACAATGGCGCTGGTAACGAGCCACATGACCGTCATGGCCGGACCAAGCAGGAGCGACAAGCTCTTCCATTCGGTCTTCAGGTACTTGGAGGGAAGCTGGACGCCTGCGAGAACGAGCTGGACGCCCAGCACCAGGCGGGTGAAGTAGAGGGTGATGGTATCGAGCGTGTGATCGCCATTTAGTGCGTAGTCTTCTGGTCTGATCCAATTTGTGCCATGGGGGGAGAATATGACGCCGGCGACAAGTGATATTACTAGTAACATCCCCAATTAATAAATGATTACACGCAACGATACAACTGATATGAATGCACTTACACGCTTCACTCAGATAAAACTTCTCCTTCATCAAATAGCTCACAAGCCCAAAAAGTGTGATGAAGCCGCCCAAAGTGGCGCACACAATGTTGAAGTTGTTGATAGCGAGCGTCGGCATGGCTGTGAGTGGGTGGTGTCCCCTCTTGGACCCTGACGTAGTAGGTATGGCTCTTGCACGCACCAAAATCTCTCGGCAAAGCTTGATGGCGAAGCTTGGTGGCAAGGCTTA